CGACACCTGCCGCCTCCCCGCGCCCCGGGTGGGCGCTGCCGGGCCGGCCCCCGGGGGGCGCCGGAGGAAGGAAGGAGGCCGCCGCGAGCACAGGCAGAGCGCTCGGGCTCCGGAGAAGGTGCCCGCGGAGGCACCGCCGGGAGCCGGGACGGAAGCGGACGCGGTCGAGGTTCGCCGGCAGCGCTGAGCTTCCCGGATGACCGGGTGAGTCTCGAAGTGTACAGGTTGGAAGTGAAACCGTCCGGTAAATTCACTTCTACAAGTCCGCCCCCCTTCTACCTCACTTAGCTTCTGCGGCCAGTCCTGAGGCTGTGGACTTCGCAGGGAAAGGCGACCTCCTTCGGGCGCTGCGCTTGCATTCGTTATCTCGTGGAGGAGCGCGAGCGCTCGGCGCCCACGATTGCATCTCCAGGTGCCTGCGGGACCAGCGCTCGGTGTAAACCGGGAAACGGGAGTTGGTCGTTGGATCCGAGTAGGACCAAAAAGTAGTCAAGCACGTATTTGTACAATTTTTGAAAATTCCGCAGAGATTCGATGTTCGTCCTAAACTGTAAAATTTTGTATTCTTGCAACCCAAGTCTTTTTATGCTCCATTTAGCATCTAAGGGAGTTGAAAAGCGACGTTAAACATTGTGACACATTTGGATTTTCTTTCGCCCACTTGGATTTCTGTGGCTTTTTGTGACTACGGTGGACATCAGATTTTCTGGTTTAGAATGCTGTTGGAGACTATCCAAATTGAGATTGAAACATTCTGACATTGAACAAGTAGTTCGACGTGTGCAATTTAGAAATTTGAAATGTTTTGGCTATTTTAATTGTGCATCAGTCTTGGGTTTTCTCCTGAAATCTTGTTTCCATTTTTTAGCTTAATAAAGTTAAGTGACAAGTGAATTGGTATTTAGCATTGCATGTAGACTTTGAAATGTTTAAGATGGAAACTGTTGAATGTTTCAGTTAATGTAAATATGCAACCCCCCCACCTATATCAATTTTTTTTCTTCAGCACACTTGAATCTATTTTGTATTATAACATTCGATGATGCTTTTCTGCTGATTGCATTGCTTAACTGGGGCGGGCTGTGAAAGTTTGTTGGAATTGAGATTTGGGTGATAGAAGTAGAGAAAAGCACCATTTTGGCTGCTTCATAGCAGAAAAAAAGAGGTGCTTTGAAGTTTTCTCTCCTTTCCTGCAGGGTTAGGTAGAACAAACATGAGTGCCACATTCTGACACAGTTGTCTATTAAGGAGACTAGGGGCTGGGCATAGGCCCAGGAGTCCAGTGGAGGTCAGAAGTAAGTCAGGAGCCTAAATCATTCATTGTTTCAGTTTTGAGGGACAGCCTTGCCATTGCACTCAACCTGAATGGGGACAGGGTAAAATACAGGGAGTCTGTAAAAACTAGCTTTCTGACAGTGTCGTAAAAAGTGCAACTTGGGGCCAGGGAGATGGCTCAGTAGAATAAGCACTTGCCTGGCAAGCACAAGGCCTGAATTCAATCCCCGGTTCCGAGAAAAAAAAAAAAAAAAAGTGCAGCTACATTCACAGCACTTTCAAACATCATTTAAAAATTCCCTTTTAATAGACTTTCACTTGTAGAAAAAAGATAATTTTTTTAGTCTAAGGTTGTACTTGTTAGGCTAAATCAAGTTATTTCGAGCCCTGACACCACTTTAAAAAAAAAAAAAAAGATGGACTGGAATTACTGGTGCATCCAGGCGTTTTATGCACAAAGTACAATATTTCAATTCCATTTTTTTTAGACCCATAGTAGAATGTTCATTGTTTTTAAGTGTGAGCTCTGTTTCTGTGGTTGGCTGCATTGGGTTAATGCATAAATACCAAGGTGTAATACTGATCCTATTGCTCAAGGTGTACAAATACACACGAGAGTGAGGAATTCAAATAACGTGGAGGCAAAACTTGCTTTCCGGGAGCTTTATCTTAAAACATCTTCAGCTAGATTCAATCTCAGCTTCAGGAGAGTCATGTGAGAGACGAAGGACCAAGAGAAACGGGATGCTTTATAGTTTAATGAGGAGTTTGGAGGCAGATCAAGGTAATTACAGATTCTAGATCCCTACAGGAAGAAAGAATAACTAGGGCCTTTCCAGGGATAAGGGAAAGGAAATGCATCATGACTGACACGGAGAGGTGCCAAAGCACAAAATAGGCGTAATAGCACACCTCCAAGAGAGTGAGAGAATCTGAGGGCCTTTTGTGTCCATTTGAGGCAGTAATTTCTTCTTTCAAAAATATTTTGAACTCTTTTCTAGTACCAAGTACTGTACTTGACCCTTGACATTTTAGTCATCCCTGAAAAGGACAGGGTACTGTGGTGGCTCCAAGAAATAAGCCTAAAAACTACTTCCAGGGAATAGGTAGGGTTTACAGTAATTACTGCAAACTATGAATAAAGCTTCTTTCATTCTTACCCACATGCATGTAGTGATTGTGGTGGATTGTAATTCCTAAAGCTTATCTCCTGCCATTTCCTCCTGTGTTTTATTATGCGAAATAATACATTTACCTACTTTTATTTTATTTATTTATTTCATTTTGTCTTTGGTACAGGGTCTCACATCAAAGCCCGGATCCATAGTGATCCTCCTGTCTGTATTCAGCCTCCCCAGTGCTGGGTGAGCATGTGGGACCAGGGTTCACCTGAGCTTGCCAAGGCAGGCACATAGTTCACTGAGCTATCTTGCCGACCTAATCTACCTACTTGAGGATTTATTCTTTTTTGACTGGCTCAGGCTGCTAAGCTTAAGGAAGAGATTTTATTTTATTTTTTTATTTTTATTTTTTGTGGAACCAGGGATTGAACTCAAGCCCTTGCGCTTGCCAGGGAAGCGCTTATTCTACTGAGCCATCTCCCCGGCCTGCAATGTATTAATTATTATTAACCTGTTTTGAAACTGTCTCATTGCTATTTGTTTGTCAGTAAAATTAATGAAAATAAAATACAGGGCCGGGGAGATGGCTCAGTGGAATAAGTGCTTCCCTGGCAAGTGCAAGGGCCTGAGTTCAATCCCTGGTTCCACAAAAAAAATAAATAAATAAAAAATAAAAATAAAATACAGCAGCCCCCAACAAATCCTCACATCAACTGGGTTCATGAAGTGTTCATGTCTTGCATATCAGAAAAGGAAAGGATAAAAGTGACTCAAAAAGTCCAGGAGGTCTGATGATATAGCCTTAAGATAGAAAGTGCTCGTCAATAATCATGATTGTGAAGCAGATGCAATGCAGGTAGCATCTTTAGCAAATCAGTAAAGCATCTATTCCTGTAGTTCTTCATGTGCTCTTTCCTGGAATCTTACCAGCTTCCACGAATTCCTCCAAGTTATATTGATCATACAGTTGAGACTGCTGGAAGCTGTATTTCAAATGTGCCATTTTGGCTCCTTCATGAAGGTTATTGCAAGGGACCAGTGACACTGAAATACTAATACATATCGATATCACAGGCCAGGGAGAGAGATCAGTGGCTTAAGCTCTTGGCTGGCAAGTGCAAGGTCCTGAGTTGAATCTCTGGTACCAATAAATAAATAAATAAATAAGCGAGCTGATTGGCCCCTTTATTTAAGTGTTAAGTGTTAAGACAAAATTAAACACATGGAACAATCACAGAGCCAAGATTAGCAGTGATTTCCTGTCTGTGGTTTGAAAGTATGTAGATAACTGGGAGATATCTCAGTAGAATAA